TGGTTTTTCAGAATTCAGAATATTACAGATTTTAGAAAGAAAATATAGTACATAGTTCATGTACAGTAGTTCCCCCTTATCTGCGATTTTGCTTTCCACAGTTTCAGTCACCTACAGTCAACCATGGTCTAAATATGTTAAATGGACAATTCCAGAAATAAACAATTTGTAAGTTTTAAATTGTGCAATGTTCTGAGCAGCATGATGAAATATCTCACTCTCCCACTTCATCCCTCCTGGGACATGAATCATTCCTTTGTCCAGTATATCCACACTGTATATGCTCCCTGCCATTAGTCACTCAGAGCTGTCCAGGTTATCACACTGATGACTGCGGTTATCGCAGGGCTGTGTTCAAGTAACCCTGAGAGCCTATAACACCACAGCACCTCACCATGCCCACGTCCTTCACCTCCCTTCCTCTCATCACGCAGGCTGGTGTCATCGCACACCATTTCGTGAAAAAGGCATTGCAATAAGGTATCTTGAGAAAGAGACAGCAGTCACGTAATTTGTAGTACAGTATATTGTTATAATTGTTCCAGGTCATGTTAGTTATTGTTGTTCATCTCCAGTATGCCTAATTTATAAATCACTTTATCATAGGTATGTGTATATAGGAAAATCATTTTCTCCATGTTCTTCACAATTTGAGTCATTCACTGGGGGTCTTGGAACATATCCCCCTTGAGTAAAGAGAGACTCCTATATTATGGAAGACTCCAGAAAAGTTGGGCAGGCCCCTGTAATGAAATGTATTAATATATCTTCATCCTGCTGTGAAGGATGTGAGTCTTCACACTAAATAGGATAAGTGAGAAGCATGAGCAGTCCACTCTCAGCTCAGATTAAGTTTTGCTGCCAAATGAGTGATAACAAAATACTTTTGGTTTCCAGAACATTGTGGATTTTGGAATGATGGATAAGGGATAGCAGACTCAGGAATTCCCCTTTATTTGACCTTTTAGTGGAAGGGGATGGGTGAGGATGGGGATTCAGTATTTTTCATGATACTATTTTAGTTCCCCCATTTTCCCATGATTACTTTTGACATGTCCATGATTTAATACTCCATCAAATACCACTTCCTGTGCTGTATTTAGTTCAGGTTTCTTCCTACAGTGACAGAAACTTTGTCAAGAAATAAAACATAGGCCCTGGCCGGGTAATTCAGTTGATTAGAGTGTCACCCCAATACACCTAGGTTGTGAGTTTGATTCCCTGGTGAGAACACACGCTAGAACTATCCAATGATGCATAATAAGTAGAACAACAAATTGATGTTTCTCTCTCTCTCTGAAATCAATAAATAAAAATTTTTAAAAACCACAACAGTAATTTAATTATATTTTTTAAAATATACATTTTTTGCCAAAATACACTGTGCTTTTCTCCTCTGTGTTCTTTAAAGGATAAGATATGAGGTGTTAGTTCTCATAACTACATCACAGTTATTACCAGTTAAGAATTACTTTCTGGCACTATGATTCTGATGCCAAATCCGGTATGTGGTGTTTTTTCTCAACCAACAAGAAATTTTCTGACACTGACTGGGAGTCCTACGATTCACCGCAATTCTAACACAATCCACCTGGATATTATGCGATCCCACAGGTTAAAAACTCAGTCCTACGAGACTCATCCCTCCTCCCCACTTTGGACAACAGTCTGACCAACCTGCTGTATGTATGTTGGAGGTTTCCATGACCTTCTCCTCAGGTTCGATTAATCTGCTAGAGTGGCTCAGAGAACTCAGAGAAACATTTTACATCTTAGTTCACCCACTTATTACAAAAGGAGCTTCCAGGACCTCTCTGAGCGTGCTGTTCTCCCCATATGTCCGTGTGCTCACCAACCAGAAGCTGCCTGAACCCTGTCCTTTGGACTTTTATAGAGGCTTCCATTACAGAGGCACGATTAATTAAATCATTGGCAATTGGTGATTGAACTAAATCTCCAGGCTCTCTCCCCTCCCAGAACTCAGGGAGTTGGGGCTGAAAGTTCCAACCCTTTAATCACAGGGTTGGTTTTCCTGGCAACCAGCCGCCATCTTTAGGTGACCTAGGGACTTACTCGAAGTCCCCTCATTAATATAAACTCAGGTGTGGTTGAAGGGGGCTTGCTATGAATATCAAGGTATGAGTTCGCAGCTAGCATGCGGACATTGAGCAAACCCCACAATGGTAACATGACACGGACAATGGTGTGAGTTGTGGTGAGGAAAACAAATAACTTTTGTTATTAACAAAATCTCTACACCAGGGGACTCCATTTCTATTCCATTGTTCTCTTCAAAGAGGCAATGTGAGATCATGGGGTGGGGGGAACCAGCCTGTGACTATGGGGCATAGGCCCATAGCTATCCCTGGTGCACCTTGTAACAGCAGCAAGTCCTTCCCCTGGGGAAACAGGCATATTTGGTCACAAAGTGTAGGACTCATTAGAATTGAATCAAAGAGTGAAAGAGGCAAGTCCCCTACTCATTCTTTTCAGTCCTTCTGGTTGTAATAAAAAGGCTCAGTTTAGTGCTAATAGATCTCTAAATTTGCCAATATATCTTTTAAAAGAAAACTAGTTACAATTTTTTAAGTTGGGGAATGTATGAATGTATATGTTTACATATTTATTTTAAACAGTTTCATTCAGGTATAATTGAAATACAATAAAGTGTACATATTTAAATGTACAATTTGATAAATACTGACCTAGAACTACACCTATGAAGCCCTCACTACAATTCAGAAATATCAACATATCTGTCACCCCAAAACTATCCTCATCCCCCTTTGGAATAAGTATCCGACTCACCGGGTTTTCAGAGACTGAGTGTACCTCCATGGCCAGTACACAGACAGACTGGCAGAGCCCAGAGCCCTCCTTTTAAGCCACCTTGTGATTCGGCAGCCTCTGAGTGCCAGCTGCTCCGGCCTGCTACAGACCTGACTCTAACTCGAACTCTAGCTCATGTCGCTAAGTACTGCCCTGACTACATTGTTGACTTAGACCGTTTGAGTTCAGACTGGGACTTCATTTACCCTTGGACAAATTCCTTAGTTCTTTCTACCTCAGTTACCTTATGTGTGAAATGGGTATAATGGTGTTTACCGTATGGAATTCTAATGAAGACTGAGATAATCTTTGTGCTTAGAACTAAAAGTTAATTTAAGGACCAGGCATGGTAAGAATGAGCTTTTGAAAAGCTGCATATTTGCCTGTGATTTTCCAGATTCTCTTTTTCAAATAGAAAAGACCCCTTGGGCTTAAGCCTTATCCTCCTTTCTGTTGGTCTCAGGTGAGCCGAGGGGAGGGACTGTGTCAGCAGGGATTCTAGAGCATCCTGGCACACAGTAGTTGCTCAGCAATGTTCACTGGGTCACCTTGACTTAAGAACTTGGTCTTTATGGAGAGATATCTATCTAAAGCCTGCTTTATCCAGTTGTAGCTTGTAATTTTGGTGAAAGATCACTAGTTACCCACAGGGAGCAAAGCAGCCTGAGTAAACATGTATTGGTCTCTGGAAGGCACTCCTGGTCAGCTCTACAAAGAATCCACCTGGTTCCATTTCAAAATGGAGACACAGGGCTCTTGAACTGTTTTGAATTTTAAGAGAGTAAAAGTAGCATCAGCCCTGTGTGCTGGTAACATTTTCCTTCTTGATCTGGATGCTGGTTACATGGAGGGTTCATTTGTGAAAATTCACTGAGCTCTACACTTTCATTTAAACATTTTAGTGTATTCCCTGGCTGGTGTAGCTCAGTGGATTGAGTGCCGGCCTGAGAACCAAAGGGTTCCTGGTTCGATTCCCAGTCAGGGCACATACCTAGATTGTAGGCCAGGTCCCTGGTGGGGGTGGCATGTGAAAGACAAGCACACATTGGTGTTTCTCTCCCTGTCTTTTGCCCTCCCTTCCCGTCTATAAAATTTTTTTTAAATCTTTAAAAAATAAACATTTTAGTATATTTACATGTATTAAAATGCAAAAACCTAAATACTTAGCCCAATGCATTTTTACCTACCCTTGCAACCATGTCACCCTCACCTAGATCAAGACACAGAATATTTCCACTACATCTGAAAGTCCCCTTGTGTCCTGTTGCCAAGATATAAGCACCTTTAGGATTTTAATCACCACAGACTTAGTCCTACCTGTTCTTCAATGTCACGTAAATGGCATCACACAATACGGACTCTTTTGTGTCTGGCAGTTTTCATTCAACGTATTTTTGAGATTCATCCATTTTGTTATGTGTAGCCATAGTTCATTTCTTTTTATTGTTGATTAATATTCCATTGTATGAATATACTAGTTTATTTATCCATTCTATTTTAATGGCTACTTGATTGGTTCCAGTTTTAGGCTATATGAATAAAGCTTCTATGAACATGTATGTTCAAGTCTTTTTGTGTCCATATGTTTTCATTACTCCTAAGTAAATGCCTAGGAATGCAATGTCTGGTTATATGGTAGGTATTTTGCCTTCATTAGAAAGCACTAAACCGTTTTACAAAGTGTTTGTACCATTTTCCACCAATGGTGTATGCAAGTTCCAATTGCTTCATATTGTTGCCAGCACTTGGTATTTTCAGACCTTTTAAAGCTATATATCGTGTGCAATTCTCTTTGTGTACATTACACTGACATACTTCAGTGAAAACTTATAAAGTTAAACCAACCATAAAAATGATGGTAGTTGTGTCTGATGCTAACCCTCTGAAAACTGAAAAAAAAATCATCTGGATATTTTGTCAACATCTGCCAGGAATCTGATAACTGATGTTGCCCCATTTAATTGGTGTATTTTTATTTTACATTATGCAAAAATACTGCAATTCAGCCTTAGAGTTTGTTGGGAAAATATTGTTTCTGAAAAAAAAGTCTTCCCACAGGTTCCTTGAGAGAGATTTTTATCTCCATTTTCCTTTTAGTTTTGGTAGGAGGACTTATGATTTAGTACCTTTTAACAGAACCTCACTACTTTTCTTCTTCTTTCCCATTTCAGAGCATAAATGCCCAGTGGATGAGCGGGAGCAGTTGGAGGAAACTTTGCCCCTGATCTTGGGGCTCATCCTGGGCCTCGTCATTGTGGTAACGCTGGCGATTTACCACATCCACCAAAAAATGACTGCCAACCAGGTGCAGATCCCTAGGGACAGGTCCCAATATAAGCACATGGGCTAGGGGCCATTAGGCAGGCAGCCCCAAGCCCCACTACCCCAGCTGGATCAGGCAGAGAAACAAAAGCACTTTACTACCTTGTACATGGGATACACCAACATAGCCACAACTTAACAGTCCTGGGTATCCAAGGCTTGCTTGGCCGGCATCCATGCTTACACCCAGGGATGGAGGGATTTTTTGGATTCACGGGGTGAATGGCAGTTGTCCTCTCCATGCTGGGGAATGGGAACAGAGGAGGTCAGCCAGCTTTCACATTCATGGTGGCTTGGCTTTGACTCTTGAAGGAGCAACACATACGACTCAGAGGGGTATCTAGACCCATAGTTTACAGATTGGGAAGACATCCCTTTTGGGAAGACACCCCTTTAGGTTCAAAGGAATAGGGGGTGCCTTGCTCCCTTGAACACAGTTGGCTTACCCTACACAATTGTCAATGAACACAAAATACAACTTCATGCTCCCTACAGCAAGACCCTTGAAAGTGATCCATGCTTCTGGCTGGCATTCTGCATGTCTAGTGATTGTCTTGGGAATGTTTCACTGCTACCCGCACCCAGTGACTTCGCAGCACAAGAACCCGTTTAATGTAACTATGCAGAGTTGTTTGGACTTCATAGTGCACCAGGTCCAAGTAAGGGGACCTGAAGAATCAATCAATCCATGTGAGCTTGTTCTTCAAAATGAATTAAAACACACTACACTCTAAAGTGTGGCTGCTTTTTTGAAACAAGAAAACAAACCTAAAATGGTTTCTTTGGCATCCAGAGGTGAGAGAAATGATAAAAACAGGTTTTCCATTTCTGCAAGAGGAAAAGCAAAGAGAGGGTAGAGAGGCTTTGAAGTGGAAGTTGGCCTTTCCAGGTGAAAAACCATAGATTTATTCTGGCAAATAGAAGTTGTTTTATTTATGGCACCTCTTGAATAATTGGTCTGATATTGCTTCTGATGCTTTCTGGTCTTGAGTTTGGTATTTCACTTTGGATTAAAAAGCTGGCCCGAATGTGGTCACCTAGGTTGAATTTTATTTGAAGTAAAATGAAATTTATTGAAACTTCCTAGAGAAATGTACATTATTTAAATTTTCCTCAGTTTCTAAATAACCATTTTTTAGAAGATCTGAATGGGTGAAGAGGAAATCCTATTCTCTGGTGTTAAGGTGGAAATCCCCCCACCCCCATACACAATCTCCACTATGAGAGGTAGCATGAATGAGTCCATCTTCCCAAGTCTTCAACTGCTGACTATAGAGTATCCTCAGAAGTTCATTATCCCCGCAAATCTTTATAAGTATCAGCTGGTTGCTGTTCTGTTATCCATTTATTTTGTACTTTTTTAGTATCAGTCTTTCCCTCTGAATGATCTCTCTTCAGTGTCTGTCTGGTAACAGTGAGGAAAAACGTGATTTCTCACAAAACGTGCATGTTGCCCAGGGAAAAGGGGAGGCCTTTGGCACTGGTGGACCTCTCCCCATGGTTTACTCCATTCTGTCATCTGTGATCGTCTTACATCCCTGTTCCATACTTGACAGCCCTTTCCTTTTTAACATCTCGTGCATTTTTTTTTCAAACTTCATATTTATTGGAACCACCCAAGGATTTGGGGAGAAATAGACCCTTAGTTGTATGCATAGCCCCTTCAGAAAAACCTTTTAGAACTTTGAGTCATACATCTGAAAGCTTCATATTTACTTACTTTCACAACATTTAAATTTGTGTTTTTAAATTTTATTTTTAAAGGATTTTATTTATTTTTAGAGGAAGGGGAAGGAAGGGAGAAAGAGAGGGAGAGAAACATCGATGTGAGAGAGAGACATTGATTGAATGCTTCTCATACATGCCCTGTTTGGGATCAAACCCACAACCCAGGCAGGTGCCCTGATGGGGAAATTAAACTGGCAATCTTTTGCTTTGTGGGGCAAAGCCCAGCCACCTGAGCCATACCAGCCATGGCAGTAAATTTGTTTTTGTTTTTAAATTTACTTTCACAAAACATAGAACTCTACTAGTTTTGGTATTGTCATTTAACAGTTTTGTTATTGTTGTTCCACTTACACATTTATTGGTTGCTTCTTTTTTGAAAAATCATTTTATTGTTCAGTGTTTGAGCACCTACTGAATGCAGGCTAAGTGTTGGGTATATAGCAGTGAACTTGACAACTTGGAGTCTATAGTGGGAGGACTGAGAAGAAAACAAACAACACAGACACAGGTCCTTCTAATAAAAACATGGTGCCCTGGCTCTTTTCAAAATATTCTCCTGTGGCCACACTCTTGTGTCTAAGCTGACTCATTAAATCTTTCTAGGATCCAAATTTTTTAATTCTCAAATATAAGACTGGTTTTTCCTCCTATAATGTGCAGTATGCATAAAAAGCCATATTACTGTGACTACCATTGTTAGTAATCACATCATCTTTTTCTGGCTACCTGCCCTAAAATTAGGACTTAAGTGCATCCTAATTTCTTTGAACCTTGCTTAATTTCTCTCCTCAGTGTCTTTATTTTCATTATCAACTAAACAAAGTAAAGGGAAGCCTGCTGTTTAGGGCAGGGGCAGTAGTCTCCTGCTGGGAAAGCAAGGAGTCCAGGGACTCCAAGGAATCCTGGGCCTCAGCCTTGGGCTCCTTTCATGGCCATAGTCACTGTTTTGCATTTCACAGCTGCTACTGTACCAGGAAGAAGATGAAGTGGTGCCTCATCCATCTGCATTGCTCCCCAAGCTCAGAGATGAGAGAAAACAGACAAATCACAGATGCTCAATTACGGTTTTAACTGTCATTTTTTGTTTTTATTGGCATTTTAAACAAACACCTCTGTACACAAAAGGATGTTGGGTCTTATTGCTGGTCAGCCAGCCTGGAAAAGCCTTGTGGATGAACCACATGTAGGTTTCTCTTGGGAGATCATGAGTTTGATTTAGATTTCTAGTGCAGTTCTTTGCAGGATTCCCCTGTTCCTGAGAGATGGTTCCTAATGAGGCTTTCTCAGGGGGAAGGGGAGACTTTGTTCTCTAGTTTGAGAAGCCTGTTTACACTATAACCACTCTCATTTTGCCAGTTGCCTGAGCTTTCCATGAGCAAAGACTTGGCAAAGCCCTGTGGGTGTGGGAGATAGCCAAGACAGGTGGAGAAATGGGAAGAAAGGTAGTTGGAATGCCTGGCAGCATCTGGTGGAGGCAGTGTGCTGTGCATATGCACTGGGTGTTTTACCTGGAGCGTGGTCAGGGCTGGCACTGGGCACACACTTCCCTGGAGCAAACACCTTAGAACCAGGCAGACACAGATTTTCCTCAGTGTCAAAGTGCAGTTTGCAAGCAGCCTCCATCAGAATCACCCCAGGGGTCACTGAAAAACCACCAGTTCTAGGATATCATCCCAGACTGAGTGAGAATCTCTGTGCTGATATCCTAGAATCTATACTCCCCAGGTAATTTTATGCAGCAGCATGAAAATGCATTAAAAAATCCTTCACTATCAGCCTACCTGCAACATTAGCCAAATAATTGGGCTTCTCTGTGCTCATTTTCTCATCTGAAAACAGGGCTGACTCTCCAATCCTTTCCAAGTTATTTGTGGATTCATGACAGTGCATTTAAGTCCCCAGCACATTGCCTGGCACACTTGGAAATGCTCATAGAAGTCATTATTAATATTTTCCTAGCATAGTTCTTAACATGCCTATTCTGGTTTTACCTGCCATACAAGTTCAAAAAAGACTCCAAGTGACTGAAGCAGGGGTTATTGCCTCGTATCCACAGTTTTCCGTGTCAGTTTATTTTGAATTCAGAGTATGTTTCTGTGCAGGGATTTCTGCACCCCCCACCCCAGCCTAGTAAACGACTTATGTGGGGGAGTACATGAACTTGGGTGGAAAAAAATTACACCTTTCATTTTTACTAACCTCCTATGAAAGGTAGCATTCCCCTCAGTTATGAATACATGCACCAATCCATTGTAGTATAGCAGGAACTGTGTACTTGTCATCAGTAGAAATCACATTATACTTGTTGGAGAAATCTCAAAGCCATTTACACTCTTTAGTTTGAAATTATGGTAGACCTTCACAAGATTTTGTTATTTAATAGTTTATAACCATAAAAACTTTTAAAATGGCAACTATGCTTTACTTGGTTTCCTTTGTAAGCTGATGTGTTTTACTTGATGCATTTAAAACCACCCCCCCACACCCTGTGAGGAGGAGTCCATAGGCTTCAGACAAGCAAAAGGGTCCAGGGTGTAAAACTAAGCTAGGAACTCCAGGGCTAATGGCTGCTTCAGTTACCATTTAAAGTTACTGAACCTGTCAGGTTGTCTGCTGGGGAAGGACTCACAATGGCTCTTATGACAGATGAGATAAATATTTGTTAGCACTGATCATGTGTTTTTTAGACACTGGTATGGGTGCTGGGGACATATCAATGAACAAAACAGGTAAACACCGGCCCTGGCTGGTGTATGTGGCTCAGTGGATTGAGCACCAGCCTGCGAATCAAAGTGTTGCTGGTTTGATTCCCAGTCAGGGAATATGTCTGGGTTGTGCTCCAGGTCCCCAGTAAGGGGTGTGCAAGAGACAACCACACATTGATGTTTCTCTCCTTCTCTTTCTCCCTCCCTTCCCCTCTCTCTAAAATAAAAATAAAAACCCTTTAAACAAGTAAATATCCTGCCCTCATGGAACTGAAAATCTGTGTGTGTGGTTTGTTCAGATTATGATTAATGCTGGGAGCCTTGGTTAGCTGAGTTAAGATGGATCATTTTATAAAACTTTGAAGTCAGCCCTGACTGGTGTGGCTCAGTTGGTTGGAGCATTGTTCCACGTAACCTGGAAGGTCACAGTTTGATTCCTGGTCAGGTTACGTATGAGGTTGTAGGTTTGATCCCCAGTCAGGACATGTCTAAGAAGGCAACAGATCAATGTTTCTCTCTCACATTGATGTTTCTCTCTCTCTCTTTCTCTCTCCCTCTCTCCCTCCCTTTCTCGCTTTCTAAAAGCAATAAAAAATGTCCTTGGGTGAGGATTAAAACATTTATAGAAAAAGACCTTGAAGTTCTTTCTAGCTTTATATTTTATAAAATGCTGATGATGATGAGGCATAATTATCAAAGCATTTACTACCTGAGCAAACCCTTCAAGATAAGGAATAACTTTGCTTTGAAAGTAATGTACTTTGATCCAGAAATCAACAATTCTCCTTTTCTCAAGTCCTCATGCTGCCCTTCATTATCTATTTATATAGGAGATATTGCCAGGACCCCACCCATGTTCCCTCAGTACTTCCCGAAAGTCACCTGTGGCAATTTCTGTATACTTCTGTGCCTCTCTCTTTATTAGAGATAACAAACTGCCTATGTATCTGGCAAGATGGATGCTCAAAGAGTTGAAGCTATAGGAGCAACATTCAGCCAATGAGGGTTAGGAGGTGGTGGGTAAATACCCAGCATATCCACCCCCAGAAGGACAATTCTGGACCATCTTTCCCAGAAGGTCTCCAGTGGAATTGAGCCCCAGTTGCCCATCATGGCTTCCCATTCATTAAAACTTTTTATTGTTGTTAATTTCTCTCTCCTCTTCTTCTCACTTCTCCACTCTGCCACATTGAGTGAGCTTCCTAAAATCATCTCTCAAATAAATTATTTGTGTCAAAATCTTTGGCTCAGGTTCTCTTTTTGGCAGAACTCACATTAAGGTAATATGTTCATTTGACTTGGAAATACAACTCAAAATGCACACATTTCAAGGCTCAAGTTGACTGGCCTTACCTCACAATTTGAGTTTGCACAGTGTCATGCCACTTTCACAGAACTGTTCCTGTGTTTACATTTTGTACCTACTTGGACCAAATTTATCTTTTCTCTGCCTGGAATCTCACTGCCATCTCCTTGATGACACAGTGCTGTTCATGCAACCAGTTTGAGCAAGGAGTCTGGACTCACTGAGTTGTTGTTAACTTCATGCAATAATTTTATTTTTCCAATGATTTCTGCTC